CCTCATCGCAATAAGAGTGTGGAGGAGGTTCAGAGAAGAAATGCATCTGGCCTGCAATCTGAGGATGCCTTTGCGGTTGCGCTGTCGGAGATCTGTCGAGGAAGAGTCCCAGGAAACAGGCGATGTCGTCGAATGGAAGTTGAAGTCCCTAGGCAAAGCTCCAGATAGTTATGGAGATGGTACACTCGGCATAAGTACGCAACACGTTTTTTGACATGGGAAAATTAAAACACGCAATTCGCACTATTGATGCAATTTTATAAGGGCAGATTGAAATTGCCTTTCGATGAAATTTCGGTTTCAAAAAAGACGAAAAAGCGAAATCGTCCACGATTAGCGATGCAACTGATTCAAGTACAAAAGAGACGATGGAGTTTACCGGCAACTGAAGTGACACTTAGGAATGATCTCCGAGGAACATCGTTTACAAACGGTAGTGTTGGATATCTTGTCACCCAGGCGTACATAAGATCTATTGAACAAAAAGCTACTAAGGAGCAGAGGGAGCCACCCTCTAAAACCCCACGAGTCGAATGTACGCAGAATGCCATGTCTTGACATCGTGTCGTACGCTTTTTCAATGTTGAAAATGACGGCTACTTCATGTCTCAAAGCAAAAAGAGGAGACTTTAGTTGCTAACATCAGGGGGTTCACAGTTCATCGATGCGATCTGAATCTGCATAGGATTGGAGGTAGCAAGCTCATCGACACTACGCACCAGACTGTACGATGGTTTACCATACATTCGAAAAATTTACCGACACAGATAGGGAGATTGGGCGGTAATTAGACTGTAGTGATCGATTCTTTTCTTCTCTTTCCGATAGGGATGATTTTTGTTGGTACGGGTAATTGACACACTCGTAGGAGATTCAATAACAAAGATTAAGGGGCAATTGATTATCTTGTTTTGTCACATATTTTAACATATATCGTATCTGGTCTGATCCAGGAGAAGTGTTTTCACTCTCTCACTCTTCGTAAGATGAAAATTGTGATCGTGCGCCGAAAAACAGCGGATTTACGACAGTATTGCCTGGACCTAGTGACGAAAAAATATTTCTTCTATTTAATTACTTCCTCTAACACGTGTAGGTAGAATCCATTTTTGTGACCTTGTTACCGAAAAATTGACAACAAAACGTCTGCCCGTCCGTTTGTGGTCAACGCTAGCCTTGACCTGTATTTCCGGCCAGAGACGTTTCCAAGGGTGAAGCGAGATTTAAAAGGATTTCACAAGGATATGCAGTTTAACGTGAAGCTTGTCCAGAAGAGTTAAGAGACGTAATCGACGCAGGGATGGTCCAAGTTTATATGAAGTCCGGTGACTTGGGTGAAGGACGGACTGGTGCGTGGAATTATCTACAGCTGATAGTTTCGCATCGTAGGAGACGATCAGAATATCGGAAGATCAACCTTCGGCTCAAAGATGGTTCTCCAGCCTCACCCAAAGAGCATTTGATGAGGCTCGTGCATAAGCGTGCAATAAGCGTTAAGGAAGTTATTCAATGGCCTCAGCGTCGGCGGTGGCGGCGACATATTCAGATACTTCCTTAATACAAAGCACTTGGCGCACACGGGAGCAGGTTCTGTGCACATTTGAACACCATGAATCGTATCGCCTTTTAAGAGAAGTGTTCGAAATCGAGGATCAGAGTGGTAGGGGCAGTTTTCCTTTCAATTTTCTTCCCTGAAGTCATCCTTCCTTGAAGTCTCCTTTTCATGTTAGAAGACAAATCTGACATGGCGGAAGCTGCATACTTTTCTTTCAAATTCTCAATTTCTGCGGGCACTGGCAATTAGTAATATAGATTTTTGGTACTTTTCCAGAGTTGTTGAATATGGAAACCATAGACACCTTCCATATGGCCGAAGTCTGTACAATTTCTGCTTGCATTGGAAATGAGTAATATTAGTAATTACGTATTAGACATTAATAACTACGCGTTTGTTTCCAAAAATTAATGTCCATAAATTTGCATTACGCGAGAATTTTATTATTATTGAAAATTAGACAATTTTGACTAGGTGCTAAGTAGACATTTGTTTTCTTAGCATAAGTTTTTATTGTTCAACTTCCAAATTTTCCACTCACCAATCCAATCATACAATCAAAGTTTGTTACGTTCATTTTAACAAAAAGTATTCGAGTGTTCTACATTACTAGTAATAGTAATAGTAATAGTATAACTTAGATATAATAAAGAATTTATTATATTTTGTAAAACGTTTTGCAGTTCGTCTTCTTCAAATATTAACTGCTGAATAAAGTTGAAAGTAAACACTTGTATGCAAGTACAGTAAGCTGCACTATAGCCGATGTTACGGGCTTTACATTATACTTAAATTATATTAAATTTTGTAATTATCGTGTGTTCATAAGTTTCATGTTGTATTTGCTTCATGTAGGATCTGTATTATTTACTCATTTGTATGTGTTCCATACACTGACGCAAAACTTTAACTATTCCGCACCGTCGTCAAAAACTTCTTAATCTCTATACCAGGACATTAACCTTTGCAACTCCTAGAATGAGCTGACTTACGTGGTATCTGGCAACGCTGTTCTCCGTAAGGGCTGGGCTGAAATTAAATGCTTATGACGTGTGGTCGCAGACAGCTGGCATCCTCACAAGAACAATTACGTAGCTCCGCCTCGAAAAAAGCGTCTCAGCAGTAAAGGTCTATACAACGATTCGACCTCCGCTTGGGGNGGGGACGAATGCTGCTCGTGAGATCGTCATCAGTCGGTACGAACCTCCTCCGTCGGTTCACATCGGCTCAAACTGGCCCTGTCGACCTCCTTTCACTCCGTCGGTTCAGATCGACCCAAAGTGGTCCTGCCGACACTCCTCCACCCCGCTAATCCAGACCTCCGGGGTCCTGCTAGCAGCTTCTCGCCCTCTCACCTGACCACCGTGCTCATTTTGAGTGTCGCCCACTTCTCCGATGGTCTCTGCAAGGTCTCTCTTCTTGAGAGCAGTCCTCAGCGAGGATAGACTACGCCCGGTGCCGATTTAACGGATTGCCATGCTGGTTGAACTGCTGATTGCCATGACCGGGGTCATCCCTCGTCTTATTGCTTCCTCTCATCCGCCTCTGGCCTATACGATAATAGTAAACGCCCCGGAGGGCACCTTCTGCCCTTACCGTCCTTCCGTTATCTCATACGTGCCAAACCCTTCCCCCACGACTCTTGTTTGCGCTAACTGAAGGGTACCATGACATGCATACCTTGACATACCCCCCCCCTCAGTCTCGATTTCGATGAGGTTACTTCCTGCCTTCGAGTCTGTAGTCTGTAGTCTCGAGGTCACGGTTAATCTGGGCCCATAGTACGTATCTTCCCGCAACCACCAGGGCTCAAAGGGGTCCATCTCCCTGAACGATTCCAGCGTCAAGACGGCGTGCGAGTGAGCATGCACTCACCCCGTAACACCATGGCACCCATTCCCTTCGACACGGCAACACATGGTGGGCCTTTAGCACAAAGGGGCCAGCGGGGAAGAAAATATGAGAAAATATTGGTGGCATGAAGTGGAGAGCAAGAGAATGGAAGATGGAGAAAGGAACTCACTCGTTAGAACGTAGACCCACCTCGAGAGAGATGCTACGTCCTAATTTTCTCTAAATCGTCAAAGACTGTTCAAAACGAACGAAATGGAGAGCAAGAAAATATGTTGCAAAAAATGAGCACATGATATCCTTTTTACATGGACGAGAACGGATCTAACGTCGATGGAAGAGCAGTTGAAATATGGCAGATAAACGAATATATAAGTAAATGATCTAGGACCTGCGTTATATTGTTAAAGTGAATAGAGAAAGAAGGAAATGTTAATAAATTTAAGGCTTCTGAATACTACATGCAACGAAATTTAGATATTTTGGTGAAACGTTTATTTATGACATTTTGTGATTTTGTAAGAATGTTGAATTTCGAAAATAGCGTGAATTTGTGAAGATTATCGATTGTGAATTGGATTGTGGATTTGTGGAGATATCAATTGTGGATTGATATCTGCATGATGTATATTAAGGTATTTGGAGCGAGCCTGTGATCCATATGGGGGATTAAGTTATATATAAACCGGCTACTACTTAAACGTACTTTCAGTGTTGTATGTAATACCCACTTCCAAGAAGCCCTCTTGCTACGTCGCGAATGGGAGAATTTGTACCAGAAACCTCTGACACGTGCACTCAGGACAGAAAAAGTTGCGCCATGTAAAAAGAAAAGAATATAGGTGGTGGCAGCACGCCACCGGTCACCAGCGCTCGAAGACCCATTGCTGGACGACAGGCAGTTGGTTGGTTGCAGACGGCTGTTTTTCCATAGAACGCAAAGCTCTAGCCACAAACCTAATAACTCGTACAAAACCCGTATCTCGAAAGAAGCAAAAATATTCCCTGAGGATTCTGGGCTTATATCATTATTTCCCCTGAAAAACGCGCTCCGTTCACCTGAGAAATCAAGCTTCGGAATTCAAACTAGTATTCGATATTTCGCAATTGATTACTTATCGACTTATACTTATTATAAATTTTCATCATTACGCAACTTTTTAAAGACTTGAAGCTAAACTGAAATTCATTAAATCTGTAAATAAAATTTGCTTGAGCAAAACATTCCTCGCCAAATAATTTCACTCAAACAAACAAATATTTTATAATCTTGGCCAATGCGTCTTTGTGAATTTATCTTAAATTGATTGAATGCTAGAAAACTGATGTTACAGTATATAACTTAATTGTAAGTGGTCATTTTCTAATATGTAGGCTTTTTACATAAAGAAATACACATTATTCCATTATTATATTTTTTATGTTCTGCTTTCCTCAAAGTTATAAGAAAAGCTAAGCAGGTGAACAGTGAATGTGCAAGTCAAAAGGTCGTTCAGCAATAATTTTTTTTATATTTTCTTTTCCCTCGTCTATTATTCTACCAGAAAATATATGTACAAAAATACTGAACCATTAGACAAAGTGAATTGCTTACCTCTGGAAGGAAATATGCTAGCCAACCAATCAGATGCAGAGTTGCCCCCAACTGAGCTCTCTGATTGGCTTCTTGGAGAGCAAGAACTGTTAATGCACTTAACGTGGAATGTAGTGCGTTGAACCATCCAGCAGCTTCAGCAGCGTCCGCAGCACGCAATACACAACTGTGGATCCCATCCGGGGACAAAAGTTCCAAAGTCCGACGTTCTGAAAAACATAAAAATAAAGAGTTGTGCTACAAGAATCTGCAGGGACCGTGTCATTTGTGGCGTCCACTGAGAGTGCATTACAACAACCTCAAATGCGGCGATCTAGCGTTGCCGCACGAGTACCGTTTACTGGTTTGGTGTTCTCTCTTGCGTATTCATAATGTATGATAGTATTTATCGCTGTTTCTATTTAGGAAGTTGACTTTCGGAATCAATAGAAGCAAAAAGATCATTGGGACAACTGTAAAAAACATGTCTTTCCTTAAGACCAGACATGCCTTTTCATCACAAAAATGCAAGCTCGTATTCTTGCCTCACGAACGGATACGAAAATTGTAAAAAAATACCACAATTTCTGACCACATTAACACATTTAAATCACTTGCAAAATACTAACCAACGTAGTGCATCAGACACGAAAACTTAGGCTAATACCTCAACATATAATCGACAATCCAAAACACCGTTGCAGTCACTCAAACACCGTGGTTGTTGTTGTTTTTTGTTTTGTTTTTTAATTTCAAACTGTCATATTGCTGCGTTCCCATTGTTGCAAAGCAACGTGATAACTCCTGAACGATTGCAACAAAAAAAAGGGCGGGAAATTCGAATACACAATTTCGAAAATTGTTAAGCTAAACAACTAATATTTTTTAAATGGATTGCTTTGCTTTAAGAAAAATATATTAAGATAACATATATTTAAATATAAGCTTCCGATATTGTACTTTTGCAGTGTTATTTATATCTTTGCAATTTTCGAAAACGCAGAGTTCATAAAAAGCGAACCAGCACCACTTTCGGGCCCAGCACCACTTTCTTTGCCGTATTTTTTGTTACATACAAAGGAAAAATAAAGAAAAAATTAGAGCCTTTTCGGAGACAATAATAGTTCAAAAATTGCCTGTTTCACTCAAAATTACACAAAAACTAATATTTTTAAAAATTTGGACATGATTTTATTTCAAGGGTTCTCTTTAAGCAACAAATTGTATTTTAAAAACTCTTCAATATCGAAGTTGTAGAAAAACGCTGAAAAAATTAAACTTTAGCAATTAGAGAAAAATAAGACTTCAATGAAAACTAGACCCATGCCATTTTACGCGTTCTTTACACTACCCAAGCACATAGTTTAATAAAACATTGGAGCCATTTTTGGGAAAATTGCAAAAATTGTTTTGAAGCTTCAGATAAAATATCAGTTTCAAACCCGCAGGGCCTCGAGTTCGTTCAAACTGATCGGGGAAAATCAATTTTGAGAAAATCGTCTGAACGGTTTTGGTGCTACGTGTTGACCACGCACAGACGTTTTGCCGTCAATACATTTTACGGTATGTATTGACACAAGAACCCACAAAATATGGATACGGACTTGACGTGCTAGAGCAAGTAATTAACTACATATCGGAACAAGGTGTACCCACTTTTTTGTAACTAGGGCCCGGCAATAAAAGTTTTGTCGAATAATCACCGGTTTTTCTATGCTGCGTAAGCAATACGCGAGAAAGTAACATCAATATCTTTGTATAGTTAAGAAAATGCAAAAGTGATACGTCATAATTATATCCACACACGAGCATCAAACGCCACCATCCGCTCGCACCTCTCTAGCCGAACTTCCACCGAACACTAAGGCCTTTCTCGTCACTTTCCTCCATCCGTCAAATTCCATAATCCACATTTTCATTTGCTTGCACGTAACCGCCTTTCTCCTTCCACATCTACCCATCCCCATACCTCTCTTAATTATTCAGGACGGGTTGTCACAGGAGAGAAAAAAACGCACGCATGTTCCACATAAAATTACACAGGTCAGCAAGTCTTTTGCTTCCCACGAACAGAACGCTGTCTAGAAACAATTTTATACTGAGCACCATAGGCTTTCACGGCCGGAGTCAATAGAAGATAAATTTTCCGGGCTGGTAGGCCGTGCTCCAGTTTGTATAGAAGAGCCAAACGTTTCGTCTACGTCTGCCTTCTGTATTACCAATGTTTTGGAGGGAGCAACAGGGTCACTTAAATAACTACTATATTTGTGTCACCAAATAGTGGATTTCTCTGCAAAGAGAAAGAAAGCAATTGCGGACTCTAATTTACCTTCACCAATGCGACCAGTTCCTCGTCGTCAGGATCTTCCTTATCTTGTTTGATCAGAATCCTACGTTTTAAAGCAAGTAGAAGGCGAAGTACATTTAGAAGATGATTTCCATGTTTCCAGTAATCAAGTAATATCTCAAGAGCAATTAAACGACCTGGTTAGAGACATTAATTTATCAAAAACACAAGCTCAGCTAATTAGATCAGCACGGTAACTGTTAGCACATGAACGCCAAATTAATTCAAATTTGGCGCCACGCTTCGAACAGTTTCGCTGCTCTTTGAAAGCGTTGTAGAATGAAGGATCATACATTTTAAAATTCCTGCCGCGGATGATGTTGCTCAAAAACCGTGCGATTTCCTTCCCAATTGAGCAAATACTCATTTTTTTTTCTTTGACATTGATTTTCAACTGTTTCATATTAGTTCGAAGAGTTAGCAAAAGATCGCACGATCACTAGGGCGGGAACCCCCCGCGACGAAAAATCTACCTATTGTCAGATTTCTCGACATTCAATTTTTTCCACATAAGACGCGACGAGTTCGCATTATTATGGAAATCAGTGGAGCCGCGAGCAGTTTCGTAGCGATTGTGCACAGAAGCTAAGTGAAATATGTATTGAGCGCATTAAAGTTTGGTTCAGTACGGTGCCAAGCAATTCCCCGTACATTTATGCAGTCTACGTGACTTCAAACGCCAAGACGCGGCGTGCTTAGATACCAAGCGTGAAATTCGTAAGGAACACGTTTATTTTCGTCCGGGCGGAGGTAACCATTACAATCTCTTCAATACTCATTGATTCTTTCGGCAAAGTAATAAATTTTGTCAATTGTGTGTCGTTTCTTTTCAAGAACACACTCATCTGATGAGAACATAGGCAATGTTCGTTGCAGTTTCTGCTAATGCTCTCCCAATTCATCTAAGCAATATTTAGCAGCCTCAACAATTACAGCAATCGAGTTTAGTGACCAATGATACGCTTTTGGTGTTTCAGATATGCTTTTGAACCTGCTGAGCGGACACAACGAGTATTAATAGATGCTAGGTCATTGCCTGCGATTCCCACACGACCCGATATCAATTCAATAAGGCATCAATTCAATTCGGTACTAAACACACTACAAAGTCATAGTGGCGAGACAAAAGACTCTGAAACAAGTATAGTTGTAGTAAAGTAATTCGAGGGAGAAAGAGTTGAATGGCTGGAGAGCACTACAGGAATTACTGCATACTATAAGTACTCGTCGTGACGCACCTGATTCTAAATGTCAGGGCCTGCATTATACTCCGCTTCTCGGCAGGGAATACGCTAGTGCGGGTGAATTTTAAACGAGCGCATGGCCGCTCACAATGAAACGCACATGCCACAGTTACTGATAGAGCCGTCAGTGTACAAGAAAGTATGGTTAGGATAAGTAGCTATCAATTCAATGAAGTGTTTCAGACGTTATGGGCGCAGTTAATTTAGGGGGTTGGTCAAGTTGAGGTATGTTAGAGGCCCAAGAAGTTTCCAAGGAGACCAGATTTTTGAGAGGTTTTACAGGTCAGGAAGTTTCAGGTTAAGTTCGGAAAGTGAAAGCGGATTCCCGGCGTTTAGATAAAGGTAGACTCAATAGGAACGATGACTGCTGTCCTGGGTACAAGAATTGTCGCCGAGATAGAATATCCAGTTCTAAAACTTTCGCACCATACAAACCGATCAAAATCGCATGTCTTCGACTAACCGTTGGTTCTCCAACTTCACCCAATAAATACTCGATACAGCTCGTGCGATAGGCATCTGTGCTGATGCGAATTCCGGAACGAATAGTATTTGAAGGTCGTAAAGATGGAGGTGACGCTCAGCCGTATATAAAACTGTCACAATCCAAAACAGATCCAATAAGTGTTCTACACAACCGCAAGAGACATACGATCAGCACCCCCATGAGGTGCCACTAAGGGTACGAAGTAGGTTTTAGTAATAGATATCAACTCTAGGTTGCAGACATTTTGCCCATGTCAGGCATTTGTCGAACGTAAGACCGAGAAAGGAAACCGTCAATAAACGTACGTTAATGATCTCCAAGGATTAGATTGAATGATTGTGGAGGTGATTGTGGAGGTGATATCTTGCAGAAGTGAGTGCACTTGAATTTTGAGAAGAACCCAAATCGAGATGTTGCGCTCCATTCGTTCAGTCTATTCAGGACGAGTTGCATTTGCCACTTAAATAACGTTGATACTCTTCGATGAACAGGAAGTGACCAATCATCAACAAAAAATGATGCCTTTACAGGCTCTCATACGACTGACGCCATGTCGTTGATTGCAATTGCAAACAGACTGGCGCTCAAAATTGAGCCATGGTAAACACCATTATCCAAACGGTCCAAGTTTCCACTTTCCGAAACATAGCTTTCGGTCAACGCTGACTCGAAAATCTCAAAGAGAGGAAGTTCGCAAGGAAAAAAGGGAGCCAGCCCTTTAGTCTTCAGGAGCAAAGTATGCCGTGCCTTGAGGTCATATCATAAGCCTTAAGGTCAAATAAGTTGGCAACGATGTGTTTTAGTACGAAGTAGAAATCTGGGAAACGAAAGTGGCCACGAGATCCAAAGTAGACCGATGCTTCCTGAAACCTATCTGGATTGATGTTAAAAGGTTTCTTTGCTCCAGCAGCTTGATGATAATGATGATGATTAAGGTTTAAGAGCGCTTCAACAGCTAAGGTCATTGGCACCTATGAAAAAAAAGAGCAATTCGCATTGTAGCAGTGCCACACTAAAACCTATTCTTCGAGGTTAAATGTAAATAAAACTGAAACTAAACGTGTTCAATTATTTAAAAAACGGATTGGCTACACAAAGAGCCAGATAAACACTTCAAAATCTCACATTATAAGCCAAATAATTGGCATAACC